GCCCCTCCCAGGGACCATGTTTGGAATTTCCTTTATTAAAGGTCTTATGATAAAAACAGAACACCACCTTTCTCTAGTTTCGCTTCAGTATGGCTTTGAAGACAGGAGAAGACAGCCTTTCCCTGACAGTACTCTTAGACCTCTGTTCAGAGTCCAAACTATAATTCTATAATAATTTCTGACCCTAGAAGTTCAACTATCCACAAACTCCTGCTCCCTTATCTTACTCTTTTCCTGCTAGATATGAGCTCAGAGTTAAGGAAGACTGAGGTGAAATCACACACCCGGGTGCCCTCCTTGCACTTATTTCCTTAACAATACATCAGATTCAAACAACAGATGGGCCTGCGGGCGCTGCGGGAGGGAGCGGTTCATCGCTGAGGCTGGCTGGCAACTTCAGGTGAGTGGGTCTGTGGGTGGGGATTCCAACCACTGAAGTTGAGCGTCTTTCTCCCCTGCAATCAGCTGACCAGACAGTCACTCCTCAGAAGAGCAAGGGATGAGCCCCTGGCAGGTGTGCTCGGTGCGGTGTCTGCAGGTGACTGGACTGGGTGAAGGCCTGCCCGCAGTCCTCATACCAGTAAGGCCTCTCCCGGTTGTGTAGCTGGATGTGCTGGGCCAGCTCTGAGGCAACATGGAATGCGCTGCCACGCTCGGCGCAGAGGAAGCCCTTTTCCCCAGAGTGGATCTGGCTGTGCCGCTTGCGAGTTGGGGAGCGGGCAAACGTCCAGCCACACTGTGGACAAGGAAAGGGCCTCTGGCTGGTGTGGATGCGCTGGTGGCACACGAGGCGGGAGGGCTGCGCGAAGGCCGCTCCGCAGTAGGCGCACTTAAAGGGCCTCTGGACAGGATGCAGCGTCAGGTGCTCGTGCAGGTTGGAGGATTTGGTGAAGCCCTTACCACAGGTGGGTCAGGGGAAGGGCTGCTCCACCATGCCATTAGCCACCGTGAACTCTGTCGCAGGCCGGGCAGTGGAAGGGCTTCACACGTAGATGCTTGCGCTGGTGGCGCACTAGCAACAGCGTTTTGTTGAAGGTCAGGCCATACGACGCACAGGAACGGCTTGTCGTTGCTGTGCTCGTTGCGCTGGTGTTTGTACAGGTTGGAGGAGCGCATGAAGGCCTTGCCGCGTAGGTCTTCTCTCAGGTGTGGGTAGGAATGTGCTTTCAGTGGTCGGAGGACCAGATTGTAGGCCTTGTCGCAGAAGGGACACGGGTAGGGCCCCAGCCCATGTCAAGGCGTCGGTGCTTCTGCAGTGTGCCGCGGTGCGAGTAGGCCTTGCCGCAAAGCTTGCAAGCATAGGGCTTGGCCATGCTCCACATGGCCTGGCAGCTTGTCCGACTCCACCCGCCACCCCCCACCCCCCTCCCCACCCCGCTTGGGCACCTGCCAGGCGCTGCACTTCTTCGCTGTTATACGCTTTTACCAACACTGCTGCCAGGCTGGCTGGGGCAGCCAAGCCCTGAGCCCGCCTGTGTGTCTCCCTCGTGGGGAGGTCCCACCTGCTGCCTGGCCTGGGGAGGCACTCCAGGGATGAGCTGTCTGGGGATGTGGCCACGGTTTGGAGGCACTCTCCCAGGACCCAGGACGCCAGATGGGCCGTTGGAGGCTGTGTCCTGGTTTACTTCCGGTCTCCATGATCACCTGCACCTGCAGGTGGTGAGTTCCTAGGAGGTTGTAGGAGGTTGCAGAATGTAACAACTTGTGTGAGAGTCATGCTTCCCTCCAGGGAGTCTTGCGTCTGGGTGACCTCACCGTCTTCCCTCTCCCCACTGGACTTCTTCCCAAACAGCCCCATAGGTTTCTGCTCCAGGCCCCCAGCACTAAGAGAGTCAGATAATTTCTCTTCCTTCTTGTAGAATGGAGGCTGCCACTGCAAGTCAGGGTTGTCTTCAGTTCCTGGGGAACAACCTGCTCCCCAGTGTATCCTCTGTCCTTGCCTCCCCACCTTCCTCGTCTCCACTCTCCAAATCCCTGCTCCGCATGTGGGGATCCTGGGTCAGACTGTTCAGGGCCACCTTGACACACCTGTCCTCAGGGTCCACTTGCTCCATGACGGGCAGGTCCTTCGTTGCCTGCCCCCTTGAGGAGGAACCTTGGTGTGCAAAAGGGGAGGTGTAAAGACTAAGTCACAAGGAATGCACTTCATCACTTAAATGATCAGAGAAACCAGTTCCCACTACATCCTTGTTTCCCAAACTGGTGTCTGTGCCAGGTGCATTGTTGAGCCCCATGGGGAGAAGGAGCCAGCCCCTGCTGAAAACTCCACAGTTGTCCATCTTCCCTTTGGATATCCCACTTACTAGAAGCCCCAGAAGACTATGTTGTCTGGGAGGGCCAGAGATGCGGAACTCAGGGGTGGCAGTATACCCTGCCTTGTCCAGGATCTCATACCTCAAAAGCATGGCAGATGGGGCTTCTGTTAGCATGAAGGAGGCCAGCGGAGACAGTAGATAGCAATCCCTGGACCTCCCAGGCACCCTCAGTGTCCTCTAGACAGGAAAGAAGCTGGAAAGCAAGCCAGCTCCTTCTGTCCCTGCTGAGAGTGCCATGACCATGTCAGCCTGTGAGGCCACCTCCTCGGGAGACAGGGAGTACCCCTGGGAGGGTGTGGGAGAGTGAGGGAGCCACTCACTGGGTCCTCAAGAAGACCCCAGCTGCCTCTCACTGCCTGTGCAGAGCTTTGTAGGTCTTCACAGGGGACAGTCTGTAACTGCCAGGGAGGTGCACACAGGAACCCTGGAGAAAAGGGTACCTGCTGGGAGCTTGAGTTGCCTTTAAAATAAGGCTCCATTTGAAACATCCACTAGAATTGATATTCCATGCCATGTTTGTTTTAATAAAACATAGTGTAAGTTATGTTTGGTTGAAACATTTCATCTGTACCCCTGGCGTGCCCTACATGCCCCATGACATCGTTCCTCCATCAGGTGTACCCCATGTGCCCACAGGGAGCATCTTTCCTAATCTGAGAAGCACAGACTTGAGGTTTTATACAAAACAAGGCATAAGACACAGGAGCCACCTGGGGTTTATTTTCAAGCTGATTTTATTTGGACTTGAAGATACAGAGAGCCTCCTGAGGTTGGTTAATAAGGATTGTGTGAGTGAGACGTTTTACAGGAATGGCTGGACTGAGGGGCAGACTGCTGAGGGCCTCACTGGACAGAACTGGCTGTGGTCTGGCGGGGACCAGCTGAGAATCTAGACCAGGTCTTAGTAACAGTTCCACCTTTCTAGGCACATATTGTAGGCCAGGCATCATTATGGTGGCCATATCTCAAACATACTCTCATTTATTTCTTCCAGAAACCTTTATGATAGAAGCCATTACTATTATTATTATTATTATTATTATTATTATCATTTCCATTTTACAAATCAGTGCACTGAGGCTCAAAGTGGCCCAAGGTCACTTGGCTCCCACAGCCCTTGGGCATCTCTGTAATTTCAAAGCTCCCTGAGCCCAGCCTTACAGACTGCCTTGCAGCTGTGGCCTCCAGACTGAGGCCTGCCCTGAGCTTGGGCCAAGAGCAGCCACAGCACCCTGAGGAGAAGACCCTGCTCTCTGCAGGCATCAAAGACCCTTATGTTTTCTGGGCCAAGGAGCCTTGGCCACAGGGCCTCACCACTGGGTTCCTCCCTGCTGTCATTGACCCAGATTGCCCTTGGTGGGAGAGAGGCCAGGGCCCACTGTCAGAGCTGGGACACAGGCTGCAGACAATGCTGCAGGAGTGAGTCACTGGGTGGTGGCTCCTCTGCAAGTCCCCTCCCTGCCCTCAGCATTTTCCACTGCTGTCTCAGCAGGGATAAAAAGCACTTTTTTTCTTTTCTCTTTTAGAAGCACCTGTTGTACCTCTGTGT